CTAGGATTTTATTTAGGGTCTCTTAGTCTCCAACCATAAATCAATTATAACGATAGTAGTAGATTAGTTGAGCAAGTATGGGCACCTATTACCCCTGGCCCATCTCACATTGTCCAATATGTTACTTAACTGTGTCCTTAAAGGCATGTTTAAACTTCATGGGAAGCTCATCTCAATAGTGAATGGGATGCTACTTTCATTTGTTTAGGAGGGGCTCTTTTGTCTATATACTACCAAACTATGATTTGGCTTACCGTCCTTAAATGGATAGCCAAACCAAAGTCCTCAACTGCACACTTAAAACCTACCTCCACTACTTCACTAGTTCACATCCCCCACCTATGGGTGAAGTGGTTTCCTCTTGTCAAGTAGGGGTACAACACCACTTATCATTCAACCACTAAATCACACCATTTAAACGAGTCTATAGGGCCCCACTAATGGGTGAAGTGGATTCCTCTTGCCAAATGGTGCTACAACACCACTTACCATTCAACCACTAAAACCACACCATTTCAACTAGTCTATGGGGCCCTAACCCCACTTTACTCTCTTATGTCCTAGGGACAACCAAGGTGCAGTTGATCGAGGAAACTCAAAGAAAGAGAGAAAGTGCTAACAAAACTCAATGATAGTTTAAATAAGATAAAAATCATATGAAGCGCATGGAATATTCGCGAAGAATATAGAGGCAATTCAACATTGGTGAATTAGTCTACCTATCTCTTCATCCATATAGGCAAAGGAACATGGTAGCCAAAATGTCTTAGAAATTGAAATACCATTTTATGGGCTATATAAAGTCATTTAGTGCATAGGCCTGATGTCCTAAAAGTTGGAATTATCTATTGGGTGAAAACTACACCTAGTATTTGATGTCTCATTAATCAAAAAGAAGTCGGGTGCCTATAACATTTCAAGATCCACACACCCTCAACTAATGGTTGTTGGAACCCTCAAGCCTAACCCATAGACTATTTGAAGGGATGAGAGATCTATCATATGGATGGCCGAACCCTGCAAGAAGGTAGGGCGAAATTTAAAAAGTTTCCTCTCTCCCATCTGGGAATCACATTCCCTGTTTTAATCTTGAACCAAGAACCGAACCAGATCTGAACCAAAACTGTAGGAGAGGGATATACCTAATACAAAAATGCAATATCTCCCAACAAAGGTGTTCACGCCCAAAGAAAGACTTCAAAGACTGTTCCCACTGAAGATGACACAGTGAATGGTGGAGCAAAATCAGTAGGGTCCATCCAACGAACCGAATTCTTCAACAAGAATTCGATGGAGGCAGTGAACACGAGTTCTGATCAGCCTTTCTCCAAAGACTGATATCGAGACACCTCTTGACCGCTCCTACAAAGGAAGGAGATCGAACTGGCAGTATGGCGGCAACTGGAGGAAACGCAGGGAGAAGATGGCGCAGTCACACTGTTGTTGTCTTCTCTCTGTGTGCTCTGAGATCTGATCTCTGAGAAGCTTGGGATGCTAAGGGATGAACTGAATGGTTCGCCCCTTCCTCCTTTTATAGCCTTAAAGAGAACTCCTAATATCATTAGGAGTTTCCTAATCCAAATCTGTATTTGGATAAGGAGTTCTCTTTAAGAGATAAGGATAAGCCATTATCTTATCTGCAAATTAGATCAACTCTCTCATAAACTCATTATGAGGTTTCCAGATCTGAATTCAGATCTGGACTCTTTGAGTGGATAGGGTAAGACCCTATCCTATTTGCTGATTTAATCCCAGATCCTCCCCATTTATTTAACTAGTCAAACTAGGCCAGTTCGAAATGGGCTTTAGGCCCAATAAGTCTAAGTGCTCAAACTGCTTCCAACATGCTGCCCAGTTGGGCTTCTTTGTATGGCGTGGGACCCAAACATTGATCTACACACTAGCCACATGGGTTCAGCCCAGCCTCTGTTACAAGGCTTGGCCGAATTCACTAAAAGGATAGTGAACCCCCTGAAGCCCATCACATGGACTCCTAATGGGCCCAATACTTACACTAAGTGGTCCCTGGGCCAAGTCACCTTATAAAAACCCAGGGATTATGGGCAGATGCAAGATTAGCCCATCAGGTATTACCCTCAATGGTCTTATACTTAACCTCTCAGCCCATAATGATCATACATTGCCCGACAAGAGAGGACCTCTCCCTCGGCTGCAAGGAACAGTGTTGCACTCTCTACTCACATGGATCTGGGGAATTAAAACATTTTGCAAACATTTTGAAACCATAATATATATATTTATATTTGTATAAAATAAATTTTGTAAAACAAATTTCAACGATTGAAATTGGTTGCCGGTAGTCTTGGTTTCCATCAGAGATAGTGCACCCCCGATCATTACCTTTGTCCGACAAATGGGCTAATCCTATCACTATGATCACCCACTCAGATGAATTCTTTGACTGTCCCAACATACCTAGGTTTTGACCCCCTCTAAGGATCTCACTGATTGGCATATCAAAGACAGCCCAATTCAACACCTAGTGTAGTATCATAATCGAGTATGGGGGTCAGGTGTAACTTTCTAGTTTTGCCCATTAATCACCAAGGTCCAGGGCAATACTGAAAATCTGGTCCGATTCAGGGTTTTAAGTAAACCTACACTGCATGTACCTTGGGTCTCGCCCTGAAAGCCGAGACAAGCCACCCCAACACTTGGCGGCACACCAGTGTCAGCTTTAATAGGATAAATCTCCATAGACTTATCCAACGACTGTGAACATTCTAAACTAACACGAGTCTCATAAGTGTCCAGTTTAAGGGTATTACACAGAAACACAACAGTATAACACTGTCTAACACTATTCCCTGAGAATGGTGAAGAAGGGTAATGGAGTTGTAATTAAGTGTTATATGGGACCCCACTGTGAGATGCCACTTGGGAATGTTGGGAGTGATACCCTTGATGACAAGGATTGATCTTGTGAAATGTTTCCTTGGATATATCCTCGAGGACAAGGCCAATTGAAAGAGGGGAGTGATACACCTACATCATGATAACTTGAGTTTGGCCCACGACACCTTCAACCCATGAGTTTAACTGACTCCCTCCATGGAATATTTACCACCTACGACACTCGATTTTGCTTTTCAAGAATATATAACCTATCATATCCTTTGAAGCACCTTAAGGTACATTAATTGTCTTACATGAGACTTGGAATATTCACCACTCATGGCATGGCATGGCATGACACCTTTCACTCATCCATTCCACCTGCCCACCTAGGCGCTACATCCTTTTCTCATTTCACACATGAAGATCATCATAGAAAATAGTACATTATGGTAAGATCAGTAATACTTGTTGATAATTGAGGATACCTTTTTGTAATGACCTTTGCCCCCAATGTAATTGATTAGTAACAAATATGTCACCACCCAATTTTTGCTTAGTCCCTTCACCCTACCTCTTTGTACCTTCCTTTTAAACCCTAAAACTTGAAAACAAAGTCAAACCAACCTAATACTTGCTAAAACCCAAAATTATTTCTTTTGATGCAATCCATACGACAAACAAAAACATTGAAGTCAACATCGAACATCCAATTATACATGGTTCCTAGGCTTAGGAAACTAAATCTTAGTTGCACTTCATCACATCAAGCGCTTCTTTGACGACCCCAATCTATACAACGTTCAAACCTTGACTATGCCAAATCCAAATCCAACACATTCATTGACCCAATGACACTGAAATATTATCAACCCCAAATCCCACATCAAATCTATAACAATCAACCTTAGAAATATAAAGATTCCATTTTGATAGCCCTGAATGACTAGATCTAGAAAACCAAGATCAACCATTTATTTATAATATTGGAACCATCCACTTGACTCTTCACCTTAATCCATACCCACGCACCAAATTTCAATTCAAAATTCCCTTCTTTAATCATCTAATCAACAAAGATTTTGATTTTACGATTATGATTAAGTTACACAAAAAGTCATATCCCAAGCCCAAAATCCTCAAAACATACCACCCATCAGATTTAGGCTTAAATTCATTGGTTTTTTCCTAAAACAATCAAAATTCCATTTTAAGCATATTCATTGATTGATAAACCATAGGCTAAAACCTGAACCTAAACCAAATCTTTCAATCCACACCTTTGATCAAAGATCCATAACTTCCATTAGATTTAAGACGTAAAAAAGTGTTAAATGCCAAATTCATTATGAAATTCCCTCATTTAACCCACCATCAAACAAAGATGTTATTTCAGTAAATTTCATTAATACAAACTTGTTGGCCATAAATCTCCATCATATTGGCCCTATTTGACCAATCAGACCTCACCATTTTGTTCTAAAACCCACAAAACCTTGATATGCCAAATTTCTTGACCAAACTCCTTCGTTTGATTGTTAAAAAAGTGAAATTTCATTTCAAACATTCTTGTTGATTATAAACTATAAGCTAAAACTTTGATTTGAATTAAGAGAGAGGGTGCCTAACACTTTGGGGTAGTTTTACCTTAGGGCCTAAACTTTCAAATGGATCACTTTGGTGCATAAGCTTTCAAAACTATACATTTAAGTCCAAAACCTTTAACCAAATGTTACAATGAGGGATAAAACTACAAAAATGCCCAAATTTTGATTTTCTTTTTTTTTTTTCATTATTCATCTTCTTCTACGGTTAGACTTCCAATGCAAATTAGCAACTACATATTAAGCATCTCAGTCTATCCATTGGGGCAATATCACATTCGAACGCCTACTTTGCTGCCACGGGTTTGTATTCTAAGTCCAAAGGTAACATAAAGATGAAAGTGAAGAAAAGAGAGATTTTTGTAATTTTACCCCTTATCGTAACACTAAGTGATACATTTCAAAGTTCAGACCCTAAAGTGAGAATACTCCGATGTAGAATACTTATCTACAATTTATCCAAACCCTTGAAAGAAGTTTAGGGGATAAAATGGTCATTGCGTCTTCAGAAGAGACATTCAATTCCCCGTGTGAGGAACTGAGGATAGCGATAGCCCACGGAAGTTCTAATCCACTTATTGGCTTCGGTGGTTTATAGGGTTTTGAACTTTATACGGATAGAAGGGCGCTTTTCCTTAACCTTGTGTAGAGTGCTTCTTCAATCTGTTTGGTGATTCCATCGTCAAGTTTGGAACCTCTTAGGTATTATTTTATAAATTACAAGTTGCTTCCTGGAGCGGATCTGGTTCCTTAGGAGCTTGATCCGTGCCGTATTCTTTTCTGATTTATTTTTTATCCTTACATCGACGCAGCTGCTTCATGGCGTCAAATTTTCAGAAGGATGCTCCGGCTTCTTGCAGCGCGGGTATGCATATTAACTGTATAGCTTCTGAAATTCATTTGCAAATCCCCAATTTCCCTTACTCCTATTCCCTCTAAGGTATGCAATATAGAATTTATGGGTTCGTTGTCGTTGGAGTGTCTAGAGAATTATAGTCTAGAATTTACTGCGATCCTTCCTCTTGTAATCATTGTTTTACTTGATAAGATTTATAACTTATCCATATATGCCTTTTTCTGTTTTCTTGTTTGTCCTTACGATGTAACCGGGATTTCAATGGATGCTTGAAATCTATTGAAATGGATGCCATTTTCTAGACCTCAAATTTGAAACTAACGAAAAGATGGGGTTTGAGCGTTTCCTTCATTTTCTTTGACGAGTATCGTTCTTTTCATTTTGTGATGGCTGGCCTGAAGCTCTGATATCACTTGTGCGGAGTGACAATCTCTTGTAGCACTTGGCATGCAGACAAATGATCATTGACTTCACTACAGCAATATTAGAGGCAGAATATTTAAAAAATAAGCAAACCACAGAGGAGCACAAGGTTTCCTTGGTTGACAGATTGCTTACATCCACCGGGGGATAAGAAAGGAATATAAACTATCAAAATCCAAAAGAGATGAGAATCCGGAGCGATAGAACCGAAAAAGGGTTTTCTTATCCTCAAGAGAAATAGCAATAGGAAACATATAAATGGCACATGAAGTAGCAGTAGAAAACATATTTAAATTTAAGTCCTTTCAAACATATTTGTGAGCATGGTGTCTAAATAGGTTTATAACAATTTTTATAGTTTAAGGGTGTAAAACTTGGTTGAGATGAATCTGTTTTTGCTCTGAGGGCTTTCCTTTCATGCAGCTTGGGATTTTCCAGATTGCCTTTTGACTTGTCTTACTTCGGTTATGGGAGTTTCTTTGTCTTAAGACTGTAGATTTTTTTTTCAGACCTATTTGTTTGTTTTTCGAAGGGCTGGATGCAGTTGATATCTTCTTTCTTAATTCTTATGTTATTGCATATCAATATTGTTTTTGGAGTTCACAGTTGGTATATTGTGGTTATAATGTAGTTTATCTCTTGTTTTCCTGAAAAGCAATTATCAAGTGGCTTTGTCTCATATGAGTTCCTTTTATTTTTCAGAAGAGAATTCAAGTTCACCAGAGAACAAAGGTTCCCAATCTGAAACATCTATTCTTGAGCCACAATCAGGACAAAGAAGCGCTGCTTCTGGGCCAGCAACTGGAATTGCTGCTGATTCTTTTGATTTTTCTGCAATGTCTAATGTTCTTAATGTAAATTCTCTTTTCTACAATGTTCCTTTGCACCATAGTTATTTGGCTTGAAAAAGATAATGATTTATATACCAATTGCAGAAAGGTTGTCAATGTCTACCCCCTTTTGCATAGTTCTATTGAATATATCATGTTCAGCTGCTGATAAAATACCACAGTTTAATTTTCTGTTGGTTAAGTCAAATATCAAAGATTAACATCGTCTTTGTTTTATTGTGGTGCAAATGTCTCATATGGAAGGCTGGACACCTTGGGTTTTAATGTTATCATCATTCTTGTTACTTAGTGACATGGTTGTCAAGGTGATGCCTAGGCAATAAGGCTTTTTTTTTGGGAACTGCCTTGTGCCTCACCTTGGTATTTTCCATATTTGCGGCTGAATCATGCTATATTTGTATAAACTATAAATAAGTAAAAGGGCATAAAAAAGACCAGACTTCAACTTAAGGGGCCATAAAATGATCTTTACCACATGTTTTGTTCTTTTGTTTGATCCTTTATTTCACACTCTTCTGTCTTTCTCATTGTTTTCAACCCATCATTGACCCAGCTGGTCAGATTGGTTGACTCATTACCAGCCTGATTTCTGGGTCTGTTTAGCCCCTTAACCATTTATATGCATGAACAATTGTTAGCTGAGTCAATGGCCCATTGATCCATGCAGTTAAAACATCAAACCATTTAATCCTGTCAGCATGTCATGGGTATTAAATCTCTTTTTTTTTTCCTGTTTATTTTTTGAATTTGTAGCTATTTCTATCATTAAGAACAATAGCTTTCATTTGTTACACTTATTTTATTTCATATGATGAATATGCTATATTAGAGACATGCCAAATCTAAAGGAAAATGGCAAAGTGCTAATGAAACTTAGTGTGTGGAATGAAGATGTTCAATATTTAATGAAAGCAAAATGGATGTGTTTAAAAATTCGCAAAAGACTAAAAGTATAGAAAACATGGAAAAAATATAAAAATTCATAAATGTAAGAAAGAAAGTGATTGAAGCTAAAATTTAGATAAGCCTATTTTGGCTGGCTAAACTATTTAATAAGATGATGAGAACAAAAAAGATGCTACATGAATCGTGGGATTAATCTCATGATGTACACCTAAACTTGGGGAGGGAGTAACTGAACAGAGGTTATGGCATGAAACTAGAGAACTAATTTGGTTTCATACCAGGGAGATCACCATGGAGGCAGTCTTTTTATTAATATGCTGAGAAGTTTAGGAAGAAGAAGAGGGATTTTTATATGGGACTTCAGACTTTCCAGTTATGATCGGATTTCACGAAGTTTTATCATTAGTCATGGGTGAATTGACAAAACATATTTAGGAGGATAACGAGTCATTCCTCTTGGATCCCTAGCCTAGCCCCTAGTTACATCAAATTAATCTTTGCTAGATGTAGTTTGGGCAGCCCAGGTTCTTCAGGGCTGAAATTTGGTGTTCTAGTAATAGAGAATGGGTGGAGGTGAATGCATAGGGCTTGTCGGGTCGGTGGTCTGGTGGTTATTTGGGATCCAAGGGTTCTTAAAAAGGTTGGAGAAGGGGCGAGGGTGGAGTTGGGATCCAGGGTTTCAATTTCAATTTACTTTTAAATGATGGAAGGGCAGTGTAGTTAGGGGCTTACAAATGTTTATGGACCAAATGAAGGAGGCGAGGGTGGAGTTTGAGGGGTTGAGACAATAATTAGGGGGGGGGGGGCACTTGGTGTTTAGGGGGTGACTTCAATGTAGTGAGAATGATAGGGGAAATGGGGGAGGGGGGATAGTTTGGGGATGAGAAGGTTTGACAATTTCATTAGGAGGAAGGGTTTAATTGATCCTCCACACAGCAGATTTACTTGGACAAATGGGCAATGCCTACCAATATTGAGAAAGCTTGATAGATTCCTCTTTTCAGGAGATTGGGAGGAGGATATTGGGGAAATGGTTCAAGAGGCACTACCTTTCTTCAAATTGGTCTCTAGAGAAGTTAGGAGTATTTTTCTTCAAATTTCATAAATTCCATCATTTTTTGTTAGTTCTTCATCGCGAATTGAGTGTAAGTAAATCATGTATTGGGCTGCTACAGTAGTTTAGAGAGAGGCGCCTAGGCGTTGCCTAGACGATGAATTTTTTTAAGTAAAACCATGTATCCTAGGGTAGTTCCCTAGGTTCCATAACCATCTTTCCTTACTAATTATTCATAATTTTCATAAGAAAAGTATAAGTTTCATGTTTAAGTCTAGAAAATCAACATTTTATGAGAAGAAAAAGAACAAAGTAAAGAAAATTCAAAAAATATAGGGGCTGAACCTCTACTTTTGTTATAGGAAAGAAGAAAAGAAAAGGTGGAAGAAGAAGAAGAAGACATGGAAGAAGAAAATGTGTTGATTAGACAAAATTTTAAGTTCTTCCTTTGCTTATAGGTTCAGGTTTTGAAATTTTTGAGGGTTCAATCAAGGATCAAAATTTCGATACGATACGCCCCATATCGGGTGTATTGTATTGTATCTTTGGGGTCTTGATACCTGTTTACAGGTGTTTTTGGGGGACTCATTTTTTTAAATAATATATATATTTAAAAATGAAATTGAAAACCAAAGAAATAAAAAAAAATAGGGGGAGTATCATTATAAGTACCGATACACCTCTGCCAATACACAAAGGTGTATCAATACTGTGAACCATGGGTTCAATACAGCAGTTAGCAATGTTGCATTGATTAAACCCTAAGAAAATAAGAAAATAATAAAAAGAAATTAGTATATAAACACATAAAATGAATATTCTAGTTTAATAATGTCTATTTTATAATTATAATGTCAAAATTAAAAATATAAAAGTATTTTATAACCCAGTGCACAAAACTGCTAGACGACTGGGAGAGGCGAGCCTCCAAGGGCGCCTTGTCGCCTAGGCGTCGCCTTGACAACTATGGCTGAGTTATATGCAGTATTGTAAGGAGTCCAGATAGCAAAAGAGATGAGTGTTGAAAACTTGGTGCTAGAAGGTGACTCTAAGGTGGTGGTGGGCTGGATAAAGAATCCGATTCAATGATATGGTACCATAGAGATGAAATGAAGAAGTTCAAATGCCTAACACAACATATGAATCTGTTATACAATGGGTGGGGAGGGAAGCTAATTGTTTTGCTGATTCTTTAGCCAAGCAAGGGGTAATGAGGGATCAGTTGTTTTGGGCACAGTTATAAATCTCTTGTTGCCTTTTCTTTAAGTGTGAGGCTGCATCTCGTGCCTCTTCTTGGGATGCTTGTAACTGTTACTTATTATTTTTTTATCAATAAAATTTTAACTTTATTCATAAAAAAAGTTATAGTCATTCTTTATTGTAAACTTCTTTGATATTCATTCTTTATATTCTATGGCTTGGAGTTATTTTATGTATTTCCATGCAGCATGCAAACACCCCTTCAACTTATATACTTCTGTTATAGTAAATTAGTGTCTCTATTCTAAATTGTATTTGTTTAACTTTGCATAGCTTTGTTTATATTATAAGTTCCTCGTTTTATTTCCTATGTGATGTTATCAATGCAGGATCCAGTCATAAAAGAATTAGCTGAACAAATAGCAAAAGATCCTGCATTCACTCAAATGGCTGAGCAGCTCCAGAAGAGTGTTCGTGGCACTAGCGATGATGGTATTCCTGACTTTGACACACAGCAGTATTACTCTACCATGCAACAGGTTATGCAAAATCCTCAGTTCATGACTATGGCTGAGCGACTTGGTAATGCTTTAATGCAGGTATTTGGTTTTGCATGGTTTGGCAAATCCTTTTTATATGAGAATGCCCATTTGAAAGGATGTCATTGAATAAGATGGAATTTCTTCAATATGTTTTGTCAGGATCCATCTATGTCTGGCATGCTGGAGAATTTAGTAAATCCGTCACATAAGGATCTTGAAGAGCGAATGTCACGCATCAAAGAAGACCCATCATTGAAGCCTATTCTAGAGGAGATTGAGAGTGGTGGTCCAGCTGCAATGATGAAGTTACGGAATAGAGATAGAAAGAACTTGTTTTATATGTAGTTCCTAATGACAGATAGTTCCTACCATGTCAAAAAATAATGATATGTTAGGTAGCTGACATGGCAATTATATCTGAATTCTGCCATATGTTCAGCCAATGGAGTTAATTACATAAGGTGCTGTTAGATAACAATTCAATGTTCTGAACTGAACAACTTATAGCTTTGTCTTTTAATGGACAAATAATTAAATGTTTGAAGGTAAAGTAATCTGCCCAAATTCAGCATAAGCCATTAAGGAGCACATGGCCTCCTTAAAACCTTATGTACTAAAGACAAAGCAATATGTTTTTCAGTTTGGTCACTTCAGCTATCATCAAACAGCCCCTGTATGGGTCTTGCAAACATGCTTAATTGTTAAGCCCGTAGTTTATCAGTTAATATCTTTTCCAAGAGAATCTTGTTCCTTATTCTTCTTTTCCTTCTTTGCATTGATCTGATTTTGGTTTCCCCCCATTCTAGGTACTGGAATGATCCTGTTGTATTACAAAAGCTAGGCCAAGCCATGGGTCTTGCGGTTCCGGGAGAAGCTGCTACTTCAGCTGATCTTTCTGGACCAGATGAAGGGGAAGAAGAAACTGGGAATGAGGATGAGTCAAGTGTGCATCACACTGCCAGTATCGGTGATGTTGAGGTACTTCAAACTCATAACCTGTTTTAGCTTGGTTTGGTTTTTGTTGGTCAGTTCACTTATTTTGAATGAAGTCTCTTGGTTGGTAAGCTATTGTATTGATTTTCAACTGCCCCTACAACTCAGACTTGGCCTAAGAGAAGGCTTTGGTTCATCTCCAAAGAGTTCAAAGTCTAAGAGAAGGCTTTGGTCCTTTGTAGGTAGCTCCACTGAAAGACTTACTCAACTATCTATGGTCCTTGGAGAGGTCCAGCTTCACTTCAGTGATAACTGTCAAGGCTGTTCAATACTCTCATTTATATACATGAGATACTAAGTGGGCTTTATGGTATCATTTTCCTATTAGACAACTTCACCACAGAGAAAACCCATTTACTCCATACCAATGTACCAAAGATATGTTTTTGGATGGGAATCTGATTCTGACATATCATTTTCTATATGGTCTACATCTTGGTGTTCATGGCTTCTTTGCACCACTTTGGTGGATTATATACAGAAGAAATGAATTCGTAGGTATCTTCAACAACAAGACACATTGATGCATATACAGAAGCAATGAATCCATGAAGTAAATATTTTTTATTTTAATTCCTAACACTAATTTCAGAATTTTTGGGTGATAAGGATATTGATATTTTTGAGTTTTTAATGAAATTTATTCAGCCAGTTGTCAGAAAAATACTTTTGAGTTACTTTTTTTAATTTATTTTCTAGTTCTAAGTGTTTCAAGAATAGGGTTCTAAGTTCTCTACAAATTTACTGTTATTAAAAAGTTAGTATTTATGGCAACTTATGGACTTGCTATTTTTAGTATGTTCTGGTGTTTTTAAATTAATTTACGTTTAGTAAGTTTAGTCACTTCTTTTTGCAAGCATCTCACCAGCTCTGAAGATCTACCTGTCCTGGTTGCCATTATTTGGTGTAACAACCGGGTGTTAAGATAACACCCCAACAACAAAACAACAAAGCAGACAAATGATAACAAAACAAAAACAATAGAAGGCCCCGAAATCTTAATCTTCCACTTCAAAAGCTTTGTCTTGCCCGTCCCCATCTTCATTCCACACCTCTCCACCTTCACCACCAACGGTCTTCTTGAGACTCTCTTCTCTTTTGCTTCTTTCAAATGCTTCGAAAGCCATCCTCAAACTCCTTTCCACGAAAAAAAAGGGCCTAAACTCTATCCAACCCTAACATCCCTCTCTGCCAAACTCTCAATCTCTACCATACCTCCTTTATCTTCCACCCTGGCAGATGCAAAGTCAATTAGAATCGTCTTACGATCTTGATCAACCTCAGCTTCCTTTTCTTCTGACTGCAATCTGGTCACCACACCATCCACAGGAACTGAACATGGTTGTAGATCCTCCTTGTCTATACCTTGAGACTCTGCACCCCAATTCTCAACAAGCTTCTTCTTCAGGCCTCCGACCCTAGGACCTCTTTTTTGTAGGACCAGTACCAATCAAACCATCCTTTAATCTTGAAAAAACTTTTGAAACATGAACAATTTGGACCCTACTTGAATCTCTGGCTTTCTTCGCCATCTCTGAAACAGCTTCATCCCCTTCTGTGCTCACTTGTCTCCTTCGTTGACCTAAGTCCACTCCAAATCTGCCTACTTGGACATCAATTCTTAAAACATTATTGCTAGCATCAGAAAGGCTCCTCTTTGTGACTTTACCCTCCTCCCCTGGGTTGCAAACTTCTGTACTCCTGACTTCATCTTCTTTAACTACCTATCCTCCTTTCCTCCCCTTCTTAGTGCATCTACCCCTCTTACATCTCCCCCTCTTCTTCCCCAAAATTTACATTCTTACCTTTATTTTCTCCTTCGGTTCTTATCGTACCCTAATCAGAAGAAGCCAAACTGGTTGCTTGCGGTGGAATAGAGGGATTCTCCACCACAAAAGGCCCAAAATGGATGGTCATTCCTGAATGCCTCTCATGCCTCTCATGCCTTTTCCCCTTGTCTGGTCTCCTACTTTTCATTCCTGAAAGCCTCTCGACAACATTCACCCTCTTCTTTCCAAACCTCTCGAACTTCGTAATAACCCAAACCTGATCGTCGGTCTTGCCTCTTTGATTCCTGGAAATAACTCTATTTTTTTTCTTTGTTTAAACTTAATAGTAATAGTAATAGTAATAGTAATAGTAATAGTAATAGTAATAGTAATAGTAATAGTAATAGTAATAGTAATACCTTGCTTTCTGTCCAAAAAAAGGAAAAAGAAAAAAAATGACCCAGAATGGAACCACTTTTCATTTGGGTGTCAGTTCAATGGTTCAACAATCTGGGTCAAATTTGTCAACCCATGATGTCATAAATTAGGTAAAAATACAGAAAATCTAGAAAACTACAGAAAATTTGCAAAATAAATTTGGCATGATATTATATTATTAATGATGTTAAACAGAAGTATGATAAATTGGAATTATAGTAATTAATGATGAAAATAGGTAAAAATACACAAAAGAGAATAAATCTGGAAAAGAGTTGCGTAGCAGGTATAAATTTGAAGGTAGGGGTGGTTGAGGCTATTGTGGAGTGTCTTGAGTGTTCCACCTCTGCTTGGCCTATGTCATATTTAGGGCTTCCTTTAGGGGCAAATCCTAGGGAGAGTAGATTTTGGACCCCAGTRTTAGAAAAATTTGAGAAGAGATTAGTCTCCTGGAAGAGGAACTATATTTCTTTAGGAGGAAGAATTACCCTAATAAGAGCTACCTTGGCTAACTTACCTACCTATTATTTGTCTGTCTTTAGGATAC